TCCTTCCGTGCTTACTGTCTGTAGGAGGAGAGGGCATTCCGAAGTAGCCCAAGTGGTAGCGCGCACCAACAGCAACCATTCGTTGGCAAATTCTCGACGGCTCAGCGCTTTCGAGAATTGAAGAGTTGTTTATAAGCTTACTGATGATGAATTTGACTCCATTGCAAACGCTACTGTCAGTTTTCCTCCCTTTTCTTCCTCTTCTATCTGCTTAATCGTTTTTCCTTACTCTCTTCCCTTCTTTCTTTCTTTCTTCCTTACGCACCGCGACCGTCATACTGACGAGGTCCAGTTGCAGTGTGAAGTTAAGACGTATATGACTTAATGGACCGAAACGTCTTAGCTCACTCTTACCCCCGACCTTCATTACCCTTTCTTGCTTTTGCGCAACCCACCGTCTGCACTTCCAGGATTGACCTGGAAGCTGCAACCTACTTACCAGTGAAAGGGATAAGCTAATTGTAGAGGGACAGATTAAGGTCGAATCATGGACTTACTGCTACGGTTTCCTACCTCATTTTGCCTTGTTTTGGACACTTTTGCTTAGGAAATTCCCAGCTTTGTGGGCTTCCTCATTTTTTCCCAGGTTCAAAATGGACATGGTCGTTCAGTTGCTTGTAAAATGGGTGTTACCCGTCAAAACGGCCTTTCAGTGTCGTAGAAAAACTAAAACTTCTTTCCCTTGCTTTGAAGCGTGTTTTGTTCTGGTGGTATTTTTTTTTGCCAGAGTATTTCCAGAAACTAGTACCCAGGATGTCTGCGTTCGTATTGAGCTAGCTTTTTTATGTAAAATCTCAAAGAATGTACTGATAAAACACTTTATATGTACAGGCATGGAAATCCAAGAAATGAAGAGGAATTTTTGCAGGTTCTGATAATTTATGGCTCGCAAACAGGCACGGCCGAAGAACTGGCTGGTCGTCTGGCGAAGGATGTTCAAAATTATGGACAAAAGGTTTTTCCCCAGTCTTATTAAATACTAAACAGCCTTCATGTTCAGTCCCTTATTTTGATTCTAGGATTGCTTGATAGGTCTTGCTTATTGCGCTGATAAAATTTCGCTAAAATTTTCAGGCTCTTCTAGTTGATCCAGAAGAAATGGATTTGGAGGATTTTGCTAGAATTAAAGAAATTGACGGCCTGCTTGTGATACTCTGCATGGCAACATATGGTGAAGGTGATCCAACTGACAACGCGCAGGATTTTTATCAGCATATCTCGGAATCTGATATGGATTTGAAAGGCATTCAATTTGCCGTAAGTTTTGCCTTATCCAAAGTACAATATTTTATTATTTTGGTATTTTAACAATTGCCTTACCGTCGTGAAGCATTTTTGCAACTATTAAATTATTGCAGTATTTTCAAGTGATTTTTCATTTATTTAGGCTGAATCTGGTCATTTTGTTAGCGATCCTTATGTTTGTTTCCTTATTTTTTATCTGGTCTTACAGTACGTATGGAATATTTAGAAATCCATAGCCTGTTTCCCCATCTACCCATTTGAAAACTTTCTCAATTGCCTTATGAGTAGCCTGTTTTGGCGTTCATTTTCTCTCCTGAATGGATTATCAGCTCAGTTTGGTTCTCCCAACACAGCAGATGGCAAACTTTTAGCCATTTCGAGATCGCCTTGATATGTCCTGAACTTCTCCATTTTATTCCAAGCGTTGCTGTGCTTGAACCACTATGAGTTAACTTACCGACGAGGTTGTGTGTATTCCAAGTATTCAGTTGGAAAGTTTCTTTAATTTTTTACTTTAAACTTCTCATTATTGGTTCTCTGCTTGTAATAACTGTTAGCTTTTGACATTTTGAGTAAACTGTTGAAATGAATCGAACAGTTTTGGGTGAGCTGATCCTTTTAGATTAAGTTTTTACATCAAATTTGCTTCAGATTTACACATCCTAACTTCTTCCTTTTACTAACCTTAATTTTAATATTTAAAATTAAACTCAAATCCAGTTGTGGTAATGGTAAGAAATGTATACGATTTAATGGGCCGAAACATTCCTTACCATTATAATATATTTTACAATATTTTGCAACTCTTACTAATTTCTTAATATTATTTGCTTTTTCTTCTTCCAATATTAAAATATTTTTCTATTTTAAAAAACAACGCTTCATAAAATCCATTTGATTTACGTCTTTTTCATTTGTTATTAGCAGGGAATAGAACAAAAACGTTCTTTGGGATATCACCGTGGCCATTGTTTTGCGGTTGGAATCGTTGATGCTACTTTTATGCAGCCTTTAGTCTTTCACTTTTTTCCTAATCTTTTTGGTATTTTTAGAGTCTTTTCAACTTCTTTGATAAAAAGTAACATTTGGTAATTTTATCCTCTTTTTTTTTTTATGCGTTTTGTGCTGTGTAACAGCAGAACCACGAAGTCTAGGAGGCTGAAATTTTAGAGGAATGACCCCCTGCCCCCGCTCAACCTTGACCATTCAAATTCAGCGTTCTTTTGCTCTCGGATACCACCTACGGCCTCGTGAAAATTTTGGCGGGAATCAAGGAAAAATATTCATTCTTCAAGGTTTCGAATTCAGCTTTCATGCGCTGGTGCGTGAAATTTTTAACTGTTTTCCAATTTTTGAACTATTTTTGCATAAACTAAAACAGAAAGCAGTGAAAATCATTAATAGGCAATCGTTCGATGGGCTGAATTGCACAAAACGCATGATC